AACTGTTTAAATATACCGCTGACTTTTTCCAGGTTGCATCTCTACCGGTGCTCTTTTGACTTATTATATTTTTGTCCTACCCTCGTCCGTTGCTAGGTAGGGTCCGCATGCGCAAATAGAAGTACATTGCGTCTGATGCTAATTAGGGAATCAGGAATTTCAACGATAATTATTAAAGATAGAGACAATACACTAACTGTTATGAAACTACATTGGTGAGTGATTGTATTCAGTACATAACAGGTCATATGACCTCATCAATTATACATAAACTTCAAACAAAACACCTTATATGGCAATAAAATATATCTCAATATACATCACCTCTCATGTGTGTAATGGTTTTGGCAAAGCTGTTCATTATCACATGACCTAATTAATTATGCATACATGTTATTCTAGGTCAACTTTGAAATTATACTGAGACCAGCAGGACACGCATGTATTACTTGAGGATAATTTAACATAACAAATCACTATGAGTAGATTTTAATATATCTAGTTTTGTCATTTAATATTCTATAAATTATGTAAATACTTTATACAACTTTATACTATGAGTATTTCGCATTCTGTTTTACTTGCATTGGTTTTTCATTTTAGTGAATGTGTTAGCAGTTTGCTGTGTGTGCCACTGGTGTCTCAGAAGACAAGCTCACATGGAGGTCCTGATTGGACTTGTATTATGGTAGGATTCACATCTGGTTGTATACGAATGTATACAGAGGTGAGAATTAATATCTGGTATTTTCATGTGGTCTCAAACTGGACAAATTGTTAATAATTTCAAAAGCTCTACAAAATGTCTTGTTATTTATCCTGCGAATTAATGTGTGGTATTTTCATGTGATCTCAAACTGGACAAAATGTTAATAATTTTAAAAGAACTAAAAAATATCTTGATGTTCTGTTGATTGAAAGAAGAGCTAATGAAAAACACCTAAACTTGATTTTTTGGAAACAGTGATTTCTTCATATTGCTAAGCCCTACTCTGGTGGCCATTTTAAATTGATAAAATTGCAAAAACTGGTTTTAGTCATTCACAGGGAATAACAAAATTTCAGTAAATCACTGTGTCAAATGTTTGTTTGCCACATCCATCGTTAATCCGATTACTATCATGATTATTTCATCAAAAGTCTAAGTAATGTGAATCACCACAAGATTATGCAATGTATATTACTCTTGCTTTTTTCTAGAATGGTGCTTTACTCATATCCCAGTTACTGCATGAAGAACGTGTGTTAAAACTGAAATGTCGCACGTATGAATTGCCAAGACATTCCGGTATAGCGGAACAGATTGAAGAATTAACAATACTATATCCAAAAGCTTTAGTTACAATTGATGGTTTCAGTCTTTTCCAGTCTTTGAGAGCTTGCAGAAATCAAGTGGCAAGAGGTAAGGCTTGTGTCTGAAAAATAGTGCATGTTAATGTTACTGATATATTGTGGCCTATGTAGTAATTTGGATGTAATTGTGTCACTAGTGTGACTATTTAACACCCAATGTACTGTAAAACCATTTATTTTCACTGACATTTAATTTCACCATTTTGATGTTTTGAGTATATTCACTTGGTTTTAATTTTGTCAAAGAAACTATGAGTTTATTGTTATTTTACATGTTCAAGTGAATTTAATTTAGCAGATTTTACTAATCAGCGAAAATAGAAACATTAAAACCCAGTGAATAATTAATGCATTTACAGTACTATGATAAAATACATACATTTGTAGGTGGCAAATCAAATCAATGTTATTAATATACAAAAAACTTGGCATGGCAAAACAGCTGTTTTGTATTCATGCTATATGTTGCTAAGCAATACTACTTGACTATCACTTTTTTTCACATATGGTTACAACCTTTCCCTTCTTGAGACCTAAGGCTCCCACTCCCTCTAATTAATGCTAAGAATGGAACTCTGTAACGTACATATGTGTTTTCTGTAACTACTGTATTTGCTCTATTAGTAACCTATGTGCTTACATGAAAGGCAGATGTGTTTCTATGGTCAAAATATTATTTTATTGATATAGTATACAACAAACTATATTTAGGGTTTATATGCACTTCTATTTGAGATGCTGCTACTAATAGTGAAAGCAAATACAGTATATGCATGTTGGGATTTCACTTGTCTAGTCTAATAAACATCCTTTTCTTCTGTCAATTGTTATTGTGATGTATTAAGTGTTGTATTTTTTTTTCACAACCCAATTCCAAATGTTCCATTTGTGTCTGTGCCCATTTAAAATTGTATATGTATTTTGGTATTCGGGTGCAGTTTGGGAGACTCAAAATTGGTACTCTGTGCCACCGGAATGCGCTGGCGCATTTCCCAAAATGAGCATTGTGCACCTCCTTTCACATAAAACCGGGATCGTTTTATGTGAAATACTGTTATAACATTTGCAGAGACATCAAAAAGTAGAAAACTATTGGAAACAAACAAATCATTTTGCCCTTTTTATTTGCGTACAAACTATTTTTGTTTTCAATGTTTCCATTCTTGATCTATTAATTTTACAGTCTTTTTTTTATCAAAATTGCCCACTAGTTGGGCTGTCAATCTCTGCCATTGAAAAGAAATTCAATGTTGTTTTATATGACGCAATCTAGACGCATGAAGCAGGAAACAGCCACTGGTGGCGCTGTATGCAATCGAGACTATTTCGACTTGCCGTTGCTTGGCGACCAGTTTAGAAGGATAGAAAGCGTTTACTGTCTTCACAATAACCACAATAGACAGAGTGGGGGTCAAGACCGAATATACGTATTTCTGGCATTTCATACTAAATGCTTTTGATTAATAATTTCACTTTCTAATAATATTCATGAGATATGT